TTTCCAAAGGTAACAGTCGAAAATAGGGGGAGAATAAAGTCAGCGTTTCTAATATTATAGGGTGAGGTGCTTAGTGTGAATAAGTCATAGCTTCTCTGTGGTAGAAGTTTAAGGTGTACTTTTTACGTGAGGATTAAAATGTCTTGTATTCTTCTGTTGTATAACGAGGGTAAGTTGGCTTTTACTAGCAGTTCTTCATAACCAGATTTTCTGTCATTGAATATCGCCCTAAGCCCTCTTTCTTGAATGCGCTCCAGCAAGAGCCATGATGGACTCCAGTTAACTCCCGTCACTTTCTCTACAAAACTGCCAGGTTAAATAGCAATAGGTTAGATGAGGAAGTATGGCCGCTTTGTACATTTGTAGCTTCGCGGCTGTTGGTTTTTAGGTTTTTTTTTAGCCTCATGAGAACCCTAATCCTTTGGCTAGCTTTCTTGGTTATGCTGTTAATATGGTCGCTGAAGTTCAGATTACAGTCGATTGACCCACCTAAAAGAGGTAGCTTGTCCGTAAGCTCTATCTCATTTCATTGAATATTCAAAGTCAGACTTGTTACTTTATCATTATTATGCATCAACATGGTCTTGTATTTGGAAAAGTTTCCTTTCAGCAGATTGACTTCGTACCATCTAGATGCCTTTTCTGCATTACCAGAAAGTGATGACTTGACTTTCGCAAGATTCTCTCCTATTTCGTACAGCTGGTGGTCGTCTGCGTACATGGAGACATCCGATTTAATTTCGTAGGTGACTCATTTTGGAAGATGTTCCATAGAAGGGGACCTAGCCAAGGACAGATCCTTGAAGGCATCCCCTGTTCACATTGTGCCATGCAGTTAATTGTTACGGGACCCAGTTTGACGCTGTTTTGACGATCAGTTAGGTGGGAGCGTAATAGATTCAGCGTATTTTCTTCAAAACCATAGGCTCGCAGTCGGCTTAGCATGACAGATGGGTGGAGAGAGTCAAACGCTTTAGACATATCTGTAGATACGACATCGACGGATTGGAGTTTGTCTCTAGCTAGCTTCCAGTGCTCCACTAGGGCGATGAGAGTGGTTTTACAGCTGTGGGATTTACGTTAGGCGGCTATGCATTGCTCCGAGTAGTTGTCAAGTTTTGTTGTAATCTGTTCACTAACGAACTGTTCCAGGACTTTATCCATGGCGAAATGGACTGTAATTGGCCTGTAGTTCTCTCTGTCTAACGGATCGTCTTTCTTAAAGATGGATGACCATACTCCTTTCTTCCATTCACACGGCCATTTTCCGTTAGAGATGCACGAGTTGTAAAGCTTTGTTAGCGGCGCAGCTAATTCTCGTGCTCCAAGTTTAAGTTCTCTTGGCTGGGATGGAGTCGTACCCTGCGGCCTTGTTGGTTTTGAGTGATTTGAGTGCACATTGAACTTGAGTCTCATTAGTTAGTTCAAGAGCAATGTTTGCTCTTTATGAAAATTTTGCGCTAATCTGGGTGACACTTGGGTGGTAACTAAAATCGTTTTCGGATAATCGTTTGGCCTTATCGTTGCGCCGATATTGTCAGCAAGGAAAGCAAAGTGAAGGGCTAGGGTTTCTGCTACAGTCGCTTGGTCTCTTACTGTGGTGTCGTTAACTTTTAAATTAATTTATAGATACAAATATTCTGTCGTAAAAAGGCCTAAATATGTTTCCTGAAACGTCCCGATTTTGTTCTAAATATCTTGACAAAGTTCTGATTAAATATCTCAAAAATATCTGTCTATATTTTTATAAATATTACAGCAATATTATTAGTCGGCACTGCACTTACAAGCCACATGGCGTATATTATAAATGGAGAATACTGCTGAATCTGATTACTGCAGGCCCATATGGGGAGACATGTTTGGCTTTCTGTCACTGAAATGCCCATGCCCTTATAAGCATTGAAGTAGCTTCCTCGAAAAAAACATGATTTCAATAATTTTTCCTCAACAAAATTCTAAAGGATTATGAGATTTTCCAAAATCTTTGAAATATCTCAAAAAATGTCTGGATATTTGTATCTAGTCCTATTTCAGTATCGTTTTATGATCGGGAGAGGGCTTAATTAACCTCCTTTCATAAAAGTAACCGTGCTAACGTTTCTGGTGAAAAAAAAAAAGGAAAATGAAGCCTTGGGGTTGTCTATTTTTTGTGAATACGAGAAAAAACTTTAAGTCGAATATCGTCCTGGTAGTCGTTCTCTGCATCGTATCTAAAGGTCTCTGTTCTATACAGTGCGATCTCCAAACTCCCAAAAATCTCTAAACACATCTTCACACCTTGTGTTCCTCTTTCAAAAGCGTTTCAGCGGGCAAGCGGGCAACGTCTCATTGTCACCCAACAGTCCTCCCCCTAAAATCAGGTCTAGAAAGACTGGGGCTACTTGAGGAAAAAATAGCTGAAATTGAATTGATGACGTAAATGAAATCCAATTTTTTTTGCCATTTTTTTTTTATCCTCAGCTTGAAATACACTAAAGTTCGGAGCAGACGCTGTTTGACTATCTAAAAAATTATAAGAAAACCGTCCCCGGGTGGGCTTGAACCACCAACCTTTCGGTATCGTTAATTAGTTAACAGCCGAACGCGCTAACCGATTGCGCCACGGAGACTGCCTGTATACAAGAGTGGTAACTTCGCAGATTAAAATTGCACTAATTGGCATGGATCTAGTCTCAAAACTACGGGCAGAAAAGTTTTTCCGCTACTGGTACAGTACTTGGTGCCCGACTTAAAGAGAGTCTGAATTACGGTAATGAAGAACGGCAGGGCCGCAAGTTATCTCCGCTTTAGTTTCTCCGACAAGAGATCTGGGTACGAGTCAGAGTCGTAACGCCTTACGGCTGGTGTCATGGTGATACTGGCATCCCCATTGCCCTTATCACTGTAACACCTGCAGATTTACGAAGCCCGATTACTGTCATGCAAATTTTGCGCCCTATTTTATTTTTTTCGACTTTTCTCCGTCGCCTTTGGGTGTTTATCTCTTCTTTTTTCGGACATTTTTTTTGCGCCTTTTGATTTTATCCCGACTATTTTCTCGACTTTTGTCTCGATTTTTTTTCTCTCAGTTATTCTCTCGACTATTTTCTGTTGTCCTAACTTCGTGCCAAAACTCAATGGAAATTTTTTTCCCTTCTCTCAGTTATTGTCAAGACTCTTTTAGTATATCCTGTTTTGTATATCATATTGTAGTGGCCATAAAGGAAGCTTCTGGCTGTTTCAGTGTATTCTTTTAGCAGGTGCCAAATTCATTTAACGTTTCTTTCTTGACCGGTTATTTCCGAGGATAGAAACAACCACTTGTTCCATTGTAGTCTCTGTCTTTAATGTTGAAACGGTTCACTGACGTGAAAGTCCTCAGACGCGTTCACAAAAGCTCTGTACGTTTACTTCTTAGCCAAACCAGAAAGAAAAAACATTCAATTCTCACCCGTTGCTGTTGTATTAGACATAGGAGTCCCCGAACACGAGTAATGGTGTCAGCAGCTTTCGGGTAAAGTATTAAGAATAGATTTAAATAGAATGACTAATTGATTGTGATGTACTCCATTCACTGACTCAATGCACTTTATTTTCTTGGAGTTACTTTACGGGTACGAATTGCATGTCTAACAAAAGTTGCGGTTAGTCCGTTCTGTAAAATATATATTATAATACTGTAACGGACCTGGAGCGTTGAGCGTAATTCCACTGGCAACATAGCTGCTACGAATTTAATTATGTAAAGCGCTCGGACTGAACATTTGGATCGTGGAAGGTGTGTTACAAAAGTTGTGTAGACATTTGGATTTCAGCGCAAATGTTCGAACCTCCAGCTTTGCCTCCTTTTCTCTTTGTTTTAATCCTATATAAAACACCCTTTACATATCCAGTTTATATAATTCACGCAAACGTCTTCTGAAACTTTCACGGGTTGACCATATACCCGTTTTAGGGCGAGTGTAACCAGTCCAGAGAGACAGTTGGACCCTCAGAATGTTCACCAAACAGTTTTTCAAAGACAGGCGTCTTTTGTCCTTTCCTTTTATAACAAGAGGACCTCGGAAAACAGACCCGCCACACTGATCTATTTCAAGCTGTTTAATTCTGATTTAATTTATAACAGTGGCTAGTAAATTTTGTCTTGAACCTGATTTTTTTATAATTCAGGTGCTCTTGTTAAGGTGCCAAAAAAATATTTTAGTTGACATCTACATATTTGGTTATATTATTCCATTGAAGAAAAGGCAAACCGGATTGAAAAATGGCATTTACGAAATTTAAACCAAAAACGTCTCTGATAGTAGACTACTGCCGATCAGGCCTTCGCTTGTAGTAACACGCCCTGTTTCGCAGCGACAAAGGCTTGACTCTTACCAGGTTAGAATCCATTGTTTTTTTTTTAACAGTCTATTGAACATAAATGTCAGAAAAAAATTGAGTGGTTATGTTTTGTCGAGAACCTAAAACCGACTGTGCCATTGTGATACAATTTTTTGTAGTATTTATTCGCTCGCTGTCAGGGGCGCTTTATCACACGAGGCTAGAACGCGGGTAATATCCGATTTCCATGGATTGCAATAGTCGCGTGGCGAGAATACAGATTTTTTAGCGACTTTAACCGAGGAAAGATTTTCGGAGCAACCTATAATTGAAAGGTATTCAATGTTAAAAAGATTTTTTTCAACTTGCCCTTGTTTAAAATGCAAGAGTTTAAACTAAAGCGTCCACGCAATTGTTATTTTCACTAGTCTCTTGTTTCTCTAAGCTGTTTATTCCAAGATGAGATGATTATTCTATATATTTAACCACTGTAAAATGTAAAAAGTCAATTGAAACCGCGCGAAGAGAGGAAATACGAACATAAACGTGGCGCGAAACTATTGAGGAAACCTTCACGCATGCGCCTGTTATTATTTGATCACTCCAAAATAATATTGACCGCGCGATGTATCTTTAGCTGCAGAACATCGCTTTACAACAACAGTGTTTCTGCTTATGTCTCCAACAGATCTGGGATGTCTGAACTGCGTAAAAGAAAAGGTGTTCCGTTGAGGGATAGAAATCGAAATTCGTCCCATGCGAACGGCGGATCAAAAAGCGTTCGTGTGGCCGCCAAACTAGTACCCGACGAAAATGGTGGACCGTCTTGGACTAGTTGCGGAAATTTTCTGTTGGGGTCAGTAATAGCCCTGATCGTGGGAACAAAATATGCGCTCTACGTCCGAGAACTCCATGAGAATGATATGTGGTTTTCAAACATCGGGGTTAGTAAAGAGACTTTAAATACACTTATTTTAATCATGCTCAATGTAAGTGTGTTTGGGCCGTTCGTTAAGCTTATATTTTCTGGCCTGTATAAAATTATCAGGGCACAGTCTTAAGTCTTTAAAAGTTAAGATAGTCCGAAATGCACTTTAGATCAGAGGGCGTTATTTATTAAGAACGATATGCAGTTTGATCGTAAGATAAGCATAAAATAGTTTGATCGTAAGATAAGCATAAAATAGATTTTGATATTTCTTTAGTTCTGAATGATAAGATTGAATTTAGCTTACATTTGACTCTCCGTCCAAAATTAAATTCATATTTATTCCTGAAGAAACCATTTTGCATATTTTTACCGCAGATAGCACAGGCTTAATATCCCTGACTTAAATTTTTAAGACTTAAAACAAGATGATTTTAGATGACTATCAGGCAGCCATATTCATATTACAGCAGAATTTTTACAGCAAGAAGGAATGTAAGAAAAAAACTAATTTAACATTCACCTTGTCTTACAATTTTTTTTCTATTGTCCCATTGTGCTAATAATTTGATGTTTGATTTTTTCATACTGAATGAAATATCCTTTGGTGGGAGATTCACAGTCACTATATGGTATCCTAGCAACAACTTATGGCAGTGGAGACCTTTAATTTTGAGATAGTCTTTTGTGCCAAGATTATAAAATTGTTGGAATTGGACATTTTTTTTAAAAAAATAAGAGAATGTACTGTTGTAGGTCCTGATTTCATTGTAAATTTGATGTGGCTGTTGCTGAAAACAGGGTTAGGATGTTATGGCTTTCGCAGGAAGTAAGTTAGAGTAAGCTGTGCCTGTAATTAACTACCCTGTATTACATTTTTTCCTATTTTTAGCAACTGGAGAGAGAAATATCCTTTAGGACAGAGTCAGGGTTATATTTTTCATATTATAAGCAGATTGTCTTAGCACCATCATTTTTTCAAGGTAAACAGTTATTTACTGATAATCTTGTCTCTCTTTCCTGCAACCACAACTTAAAGCTGAGTTTGATAATCATGTACAGAATGCACACATCTGCAATCCATTCTGGCAATTAGTTTCTACATAGTTAAAGGAGGATTAATTCCAATAACACATTGTAGTATTCTTAATTGATAATAGTCCTTTTCATTCTGAATCTGAGGCTGCCAGACAGATGGTCAAAGCAATCCATTTCAATCCTTATGTTTCAAATATAACTTCCTGTTAAAAAGAATTTTATATGAGTGTTCATGTATTTAGCACTTAAGTACTAATGTTGAGGACACTATGTCTCCTGCTCAAGACGGGACGACCATTTTACTTGGTTATCTCAGGGCTCAAAGTTAGCGACTAACTGGTCGCATATGCTACTGGATTTTTGGTTGTGCACCTAAAAATTGATGTGTAATCGCACCTGTGTACCATAAAACCCAAAGCACAGTGCAACTGACTTGCTTCCGACTATACTTACGAACTCGAACTAGAAAGACAGTGTGTGTTTAATTGGTCTTTTCTCCCAATGGATTCCACGAACTCAAATGTTCTTTTTCGTTTCGATGTTTTATCCATCCCAGACTCTTCTGTTTTGTAATAAACACCGCTGACACATGCAAATATATGCTACGAACGAAACACATGCTTTTTGCGCAATGGACGATCATGTCGAACGTTCAGTCTTAAGGTCAATCAAAACAAAAACAGTGCAGATTAGGAGCCTTTTTTACTAGGTGAGAAAGTTTTTAAGTCATATCCTAGTTACATGTAAGTCATTGCGTTTTTAACAAATTCATTAAATATTAATTTTCATTCTCGTTCGACACACTCGTTGTTGTCAGTTTTGAAGTTTTTTTCAAGTGTACGTTTTCTTTAGTCACAACCATGCTGTAAAAAAGAGAAATTAGTATTAAAAATCACAACGGTATTGCTGCGTAGCAAATCGGCTGTGTTTTATCAATCACTGGACTGAAGTAAAACTAACAAACTGAAGATGACAAATAAACGTGGCACTGTTTAGCTTTTTACTTTTTCTTTTGAAATAGATGCTCCCAACATTATAAGCTGTGCTCCTAAAATTTTCAGCTGTGTGCCTAAAAATTTACATCTGGTCGCACAAGTGCTCCCAAAGTCAAATTTTAACTTTGAGTCCTGTATCTGAGCCATGGAAAAGTCTAGACATTTGCTGGGCAAAGGCAGTACTTTTATTCTCATTAAGATCCTGAGTTTTGGTATGGCCTTGGGAATTGAACCCATGACCTCCCGTGCTGCAGTCAAGTGTTCTACCGACAGATCTAATCCTGCTGGAAGATCTTTGTTGATTTGTTGCGAACAATGCCTGGATTGAGAAAATGCTGAGTAATAAAGCCAGTGATCTTGATAACTTCTTAGCACGTTTATCGAAAGAAGCATCAGCCATAGTTACTCGTAGTTTCACTTTTCTAATGTGTGGTTCCAAAAATTATCCATACATGTACCTCCCCCCCAGAAGGGATTTTTCATCAGATCCCCCCCCTCCCACCTTTCTGGAAATCCAGTCAAGCTTCATACATTTATTTAAATTTTTGGGCCTAAGAAAACCCCCCACCCCCCCCCAGGAGTTTCCAATCCCTTCTGTGGGGGGAGTATGAATAATTTCTGGGACTACACAATAATTAGTCTCTGTATTACCACAATGGAATGTATCCAAATGCTTGGAAATGAGCTAGAGTTTCTCCAATATTTAAAGAGGACCTGAAAACTTATCCTAACAACTACAGACCTACCTCAGTTCTGCCTGTAGTAAGTAAGTTGATGGAATTGTTCCTGACTCTTAAAGTACAGTTGTGGTATTGCTAGGTATAAAAGCACGTGATATTAGGAAATTTCTCATGCTAAAACAACTACTGTACTGCTGTGCTATAGTCCTGCACCCCAAGATGATGCCTCCTTTGTGGTTTAGAAGTGCGTCAGTCATTGTCTCAACTGATGCACTCCAATAATTTTTGATTGTTTCTTAGGAATCCATGATGTCATGCATGATAACAGAACAGAGCATCTGAGGACTATTAACATATTAGAGAGATTTAATATTTATCAAGAAGTTATTCTAGCAGCACTATACAGAATTTTACCAATGCAGGTGTGTACCGTACTGTCAGTAGGTTCATGCTAATTTTTATTTGAACTCAACCGTGTTTTCATGTCATTAACCTCTTTACTTCCGGTATTGACCAAATTCAAAGTTCAATGTAAGTTAATTGTTTTAAGATACAGTAGGCTTACTCTTGAGTTGCAAACACCTCCCCATTATAGATACCCAGTGTTCTCCTTAAATTTTAGCTCAGCAGGTAAGGGACCACTCATGGCCAGTAAGGCAAAAAATATGCACTTCTCTGGGGGGGGGGGGAAGTGGAGTGAGAGGCATGGCGCTGCCCCTTCTGGGAAATTTAGGAGCTAAGTTCTCTGAAACGTTATTCCCTCATTTTAAGACCTATTTTACGCAAATAATTGGCCGTTGTTATCTTTAGACAATATTTTATAACGTTTGATTCCGATAATTTCACTCTGTCTTCAATGTTCTCTTTCCAAAATGCGTGGCCCATAAAAAGAAAAGCTGTTGATACTTAGTACTATTCCATAATATATTTATTATATTTATTCATTTTCCTTGTAAGAATCAGATCGGATCACAACTTCATTTTTTTTTTAAATCTAGTTTTTTTAATTTTAGTAAACCTTCAAGCGGTTGCAGCCCGTAAGAACTGTTGCTTCAGGTGGTAAATTTTACTGGTTACTGCCTGATAAGGGGAACACTGGATACCTAGATAATGTGGATCACATCAGCTTATGATAATCCCTGTCAACAATACACTGAACTGTGATGTTTTACTGACAGAGATAAACCTCTGTCACTACAGTTGACTCTCACTAGAAAAGACACTAAGGATTTTTTTTCACGATACCAGGGCCACTTTCGCACTCCAGTTTCACTTTTGGGGCTCTCTTTGTTTACCTCATACCACCAAAAAAATTCATACTGGCATGAATTCACCCCGGTTGAGTGCATTGCTCACAATTGCATCCTGTTTAACCAAGAATGGGGACAGCTCATTTTAGTATAAAATTGGCTTCCTGGTGGACTGAAATGGGTATTGCATGTGTAGTTCTTCAATTTAAGTTGGTGTTATTACAGTGGACATGGAAAACAAGTAAACGTGAGGCGAAATGAAGAAGTCTTGCACCCCTTACTGTTTGTGAAATTATCACCAATAAAGATTCCTTTCGATGTTTATTTCAATGGGATTTTGCCCCCAAGCTTTATTTCTATATATTTACAGGATGCAAGATAAAGAGTAGCCTGTGAAAGTATTATGCAGAAGAGGATTCATGTGAATGATCATCAGACCATAGAATTTTTGTCTACAGATTGGGGTTTTGTCTGTTTTAAGATTTTGGCTGAGATTGTAAATTCTTACTACTAAAATTAATAAAGGTTGGCCAAGTGTATATCTTTTAAATAATCATTTGTGCTAATTTTCTTTTTTTCTTGATAGATGGAGTATGTATATTTTTACATTGATACCATCTTTGCCTTACATGGAATGTACATGATGGCTCTGTTTGCCTCATCATGGATGCTAAGTGGTTCTTGGCTTGCTGGCTTACTATCTGCAAGTTTCTACATTTTTAACAGGTAATTTGTGTTGTGAAAACTTTTAAGACATGTACAACCTTGAAATTGTCAAATCCACAAAGCCACGCTTAGGAGAGGGTTCCTGGTAGGCTTTCTTTCCTAACAGGAATTTGTGCAGTTTACATATCTCCCTTTTTTTCTTTTGGTATGTGTCAAGTAAAAGCTGTACTTAAATGTGCTTTCTTTTTCTTTTTTTTCCTCAGGGCTGATACTACAAGAATATCATTTACTATTCCTCTACGTGAAAGTTTTGGATTCCCATTTCTCTTTTCACAGATTGCATTTATAAATTACTTTCTAAAGAAAGATGTTTCCTCCCTTGCCCAGGTAGCTACTTTTACTTTAAATGTATAGTGTTCCCTAATAAGAAATCTTCATTCAAGTGCATTTAATACAAAATTACAGAGCATGATAAGAGATACTCTGCATGTATCCTAGTATTATATAGTGAATATCCCTTGGCTGTAGCTCATGGTACTGTTAAAATTATATTATTAATCTAATAAATACATGAAAAGATGATAAAAAATATGTATTATAAAAACTTCTACATCACTCAGCAAATGCTCATTCGTTATTTATGATATTTTATTTCAGAGACTATGCCTCGCTGGTATTGCAATTTGTACATTTTTCTTCACATTGGTCTGGCAGTTTGCTCAGTTTATTCTCCTGTTGGAGTCCATGGCTTTTTTTGGTACTTATTCACTTGGCTTCATTTCCAAGCACAAGGTAAGCCTCAGTATGCTTAAAACTAATTTGTGCTGAGAGAAAAAGTAGATTATTATTTCTAAAGAAGGTATTTTGAGGGGACAAGAAATGATGGGTTGGCTTGCGTAGATGGTTTACAGTGACCATCTGTTACCCATTCCCTGATGCATAAAAATCACTAAAGATGTGAAATAATATTCATGGCTTGTGTCCCATAGGATGCAAAGATTGATCGATCTAGTTGAAGATGTTTTTGTAGAATATCCTGTTCATGTGACTTTTTTGGTTGTTTGATGACGCATATGTAACAGGACGGGGCGGTCAGCGGCAGGAACGAGAAGGATTCAAGGATTTTTCCAAAGCAATTTATTTGAAACTCAAATCCATCAGCAATACAACAACAATAAAATAAAGCAAAATAAAATAAACGGGAACTACTGAAAGATTAAACCTAGGAACAGAATACAAAGTAAACTAAATATTTGCGTGCAACAAAATAATGCAGAATACAATGCAATTGACGAAGGACTACAGAAGAATATCAAAAACCAGGAATAACATATTCTGAACTGTAAGCTAAGTTATTGTAGAATTCGTAAAAAGAAAACGAAGATATTCAGTTGCAAACAACTACCAAATATGTTAAAACTAACACCAGAAAAAGATAAAAATACAAAACAGAAAAGCTATATTTTGAAGACAAAAATAGAACGGAAGTGACGTATAGTGTCATGCAAATTAAATTTGAGAACCCGTGACAGAATACTTGACGCGAGTTGCACAAGCGACACGCGTGAGCGTTAAAATAACTAGTGAATGTAATGGCAAATTCTACAGTGAAATGGTATCCAACGGCTATAACATGACAAACAACGGGATTCTACATTCAAGATACAAGGTTAGAACGAAACAAAAGTAATTAAGTGGAACGGAAAAGAACTAATTTGCGAACAGATAATTCTGACCTAATAACAACACGACCTATGTGTAATGAAACAAAGACAAACTAATTCAAAAGACTAGGATATATAATAGAAGAACAAAACTAGCAAATTAACAGTTGTAAACAAAAAGAGAGATTTGCAATAAACAAAATGAATTTACTACAGAAGGTGTGTAATAATACGCAAACGAAACGAAGAGAATATTTAGCGACGCTACGAAGAATATGCGTCTCCGATTACAAAAATAAAGCGAATAACAACAGCGAAAACAAAACGAGAAATTCGATGAATAACAGAACAAACTGGCCTAGTTCCTACTAATTGCGATTGAAATAGCGAAATTATAACGAATAACAAAAAAAGTTACTTAAATCACTAAACAGAATCATAACTAAGAAAAGACTAAACTAAGACTGAATTATTCGGTAATTAACGAGGTCAAGTACTTAAGCTAAATGATAAACAAACCAAACTATCGTACCTTGCTAGAAGCAAGTTCGCTTGTTAACTTTACAGCTGCTGTAGTTTCTTCAGTGACGTCCAAACTCAACTGAATTACGGCTAAAACGTGCCTCTACTTATACCAAAGTGTTAAATAATTTTGCACGCGGCAAACAGTAAGAGGTGTGTTGCCAAACCACACTAAAACAGAACGCCAGGATTTCCTTAGGTTAATCCTACTAACTTAAAAGATAAGGTCAATTAAATGATTAAAATAATCTACCGAAAAGAAAAACCACGAAAAGCTAATATCCGCTAAGGCATTTAGGCAATAAGATGTGGGTTTGTGGGCACACGTACTATCATTCCTAAGCTATACACAAGCTTGCTAAATCAAACCCGGAAATTCCTAAGCGCAAAAATATTAGGAGTAAAATAATAGAAAAGTAATATATTTCTTGATGTAACGAAAAGTAGTGAAATTCTAGGTCTAGTGACCCTGTCACACTCTCTCCTCCTTTTGCTCGTCATAGCCCTTGCGAGCTAAACACTAAACACTATACTACCTAACGTCTCAGGACAGACATAGGCAATCGGTATCGGTTACTATGATGTCCTGCAGTAGATCTGGTAGAACGTCTAACAGGTAGTTCATCATCAGCTTCAGGCTCGTCTGCAATGCTCTCGTCAGAATCACTATTGGAAACGTCAGCTGCATCATCAGGCTCGACATCAACAGGTGGTGGTGCAAACTCAATGGCTACTCCAGGGTGACTGTCATCATCGGATGAAGGTGGGTACTGTGGTGCCACAGGAACTCGCCGTCTCCTTGCCTTTGCAGGGGTCTTCTGCAGTACGGATGGGGGGCACACCTGCAACTCAGCACGGTTCACAATTCTGGCACTGCCATGTCCATCTGCTGGTTCAACCTCATATGTTCCATTCTCTAAATGGTCAACCACTTTGTGTACTTTGGTACTCCATCGGTCTTGGATCTTGTTTCTCCCACGTATGGTTCTGTCTCTCACGAGCACTCGCTGTCCAATCTCTATGGTTGATGGTTTCACTCTGCTCTGCTTGTCATACTTCTGCTTGCGAATTGCAGCTTCTTTGGCCAATTTCTCTGCAGCTCGTCTGTGTGCACTTCTCAGTTCCTTTTGATGTCTGGAGACCCAGGTACTTGGTTCTTGACCTTGTGTCTCGTCTAACTCAATCAATCGGTCAATCGGCAGCCGGGGGTCTCGTCCGAACATCAAATAGAATGGGGAATAACCAGTTGTAGCATGTGGTGTTGCATTGTAAGCATAACAGAGTTCTTTCAGGTGTTCAGGCCATCTCCTCTTCTTCTCAACAGGTAAGGTTCGCAACAACTCGTGTAGTGTACGGTTAAACCTCTCGCACTGGCCATTACCCTGAGGGTGGTACGGTGTAGTCCGAGACTTCTTAATACTGTAGATTGTGCAGAGTTCTTTAACGACTTCAGCTTCAAAGGATCTGCCCTGGTCTGAGTGTAGTCTCTGGGGTACTCCATACACCATGAACCACTCTCGAATGAGGGTTTTTGCCACAGTAACAGCTTTCTGGTCCCTGGTTGGAACTGCTACGGTGAATTTTTTGAATACATCTGTCAGCACTAAGACATTCTCTCGACCATCTGACGCTGGTTCCAACTGCGTAAAGTCCATGGCCAGAACTTCAAGTGGCTTAGTGGCTATGATACTGCCCATAGGAGTTTTCGCCGTCAGGTAGGGTCCCTTTGCCACCACACAACGCTCGCACTCGGAGATCCACTTTTTCACATCTGCATGCATGCCTGGCCACCAACATCGTCTCTGCACAACTTCCTCGGTTCTCTCTGGCCCTTGGTGTCCAAGGTCGTTATGAGCTGCCTTCAGGACCTCGCTTCGTAGGACACTGGGTACTACCAGAAGCTGTTTCAACTGGTCACCATTGTTGCGCACAGTTCTGAAAAGCAAGCCATCCTTCTCTGCAATGCTGTCCAGGTAACCAACCAGTTGTAGGGTTTCTCGCGTCTCTCGCTTCCTCTCTTGTCGGTTGGGCTTCCTCCCTAGGTCCAGGTAATGCTTCAGCCTCACTATTGCTGCATCCTTCTGCTGCAACATGGAAATCTGATCTCTTGGGATGGATGGAAGACAGGTCGCCTGCTCAGCACACTCGTCTGCTGGTGTTGTAACTCCCAACTCTTCTACACGAATAGCATCCTCCAGCAATCCCAGCTGCACTCTCTCAGGAAGTCTGGTAGTATCAGCAATTGAAGCTAACGTCTCAGCAACATGGGTGGGGTGCTCATCATCATCTGTGTCAGCATCATCTCTGTGTTTGGCACTTCCGTGAGCTGCTTCCCAACTGACTCGGCTCAGGGCATCAGCATTGGTATTGTGTTTACCAGCTCTATACTCTATTTTGAAGTTAAAGCTCGCCAGTTCAGCTGCCCATCGCTGTTCTACTGCTTTCAGCTTGCTCTTGGACTGTAGGTAGGTCAGTGGGTTGTTGTCAGTATACACCACGAACTCAGATCCCAGCAGGTACTCCCGGAACTTCTCTGCTACAGCCCACTTCAGTGCTAGGAGTTCCAACTTCATGGAAGAGTAGTTCTTCATGTTCCTCTCAGCTCCCCGTAGACCTCGGCTAGCATAGGCAATGACTCTGAGCTTACCATCCTGCTTCTGGGATAACACAGCACCTAGTCCCTTGTCAGATGCATCAGTCTCTACGATGAATGGTTTGGTGTAGTCAGGGTAGGCCAACACTGGTGCACTTGTGAGGGCTTTACGCAAATCATCAAAGGCTTTCCGGCATTCTTCCTCCCAACGCTCACTGGTAATGGTACCTCTCCTGTTCTTTCCCTTCTCTGAGATTTCGGCTACCAGCTTATGGAGTGGGACTGCTGTCTGTGCAAAGCCAGGGACAAACCGTCTGTAATAGGATGCGAACCCCAAAAATGACCTCAAGTCCTTCAGCGTTCTTGGGGTGGGCCACTGCGACACTGCCTCAGTCTTTGCTGGATCGGTTGCCACGCCCTCTGCCGACACCACGTGACCAAGGTACTTCACACGACTCTGGAAGAACTGACACTTTTCTGCTTCTATCTTGAGACCATGTTCTCTCAGCTTCTGAAAAACTCGCTCAAGCCGTTTGAGGTGATCTGCAATGGTGTCACTGTACACGATGATGTCGTCCAAGTACACTAGAAGAATCTGCAGTAGCTCTTCACGGAATATCATCTGCATAAGCCTTTGGAACGTACCAGGCGCGTTACAGAGCCCGAAAGGCATCCTGTTGTACTCGTACAGGCCCATCGGGGTGGTGAACGCCGTCTTGTGGCGGTCATCTGGGTGTACTTCCACTTGGTTGTATGCTGATGCCAGATCAATGGCTGAGAAGTACTGTGCTCTGCCAAGGGCATCAAGTGACTCGTCTATCCTCGGCAAGGGGTATGCATCCTTCCTGGTCTTTGCATTGAGGCGGCGGTAGTCCACGCACAGGCGAAGGGCTCCAGACTTCTTGCGGACTAGTACAATAGGTGATGCATAGTCACTTTGGCTAGGTCTGATAACCCCTCTCTCCAGCAGCACCTGTAGGTGTTCCTTCACCTCCTCAAACTGATTGGGTGGGATCCGTCTGTATCGCTGATTGACTGGAATGTCATCTTCAGTGTGGATCCTGTGATGCACCGTGGTCGTACAGCCAAGCTCCTCTCCCTTGCGAGAAAACACATCAGCATACTCTCGGAAGATTCTCTCTGCCTCTCTCCTCTCTGCTTCAGTACCGGGGAAATTGTCCAGCAGCACTCCCTCAGGTAGAATTCCAGTGTTCCATCGCTGCGTTTCTCTGTCGGGGGTCTGTGAAGATACCTCCTGGCAGTCTACGCCATGAGCATGGGACACCACTACCTCATTGCTTCCTATGGTAAATTCCAGCTGCTCCCTCATAATCACTTCCGCTGGCTGGACTGTACCAAGGCATGTTCTGGGCTTTAGGCTGACTCCTTGACTTGTCGGATTGATCAGCTGGACAGTAAAGCATGACTTGGACGCATCCACCAGTGTAGTCGCAACTCGGAGTCTTCCTTTTAGGGGGGTACTGAGGGGTTCCACCACTGCGTTTGCGCCAAAGGCTGAACCAGTGACATCAACGTTCATTGCTGAATATGGTGGAATCCAAACAGCACTGCTACCAGCAACCCTTACCAGCCTCTGCTTGCTCGGTTTCTGGCTCAGCTTCGACGAGGTACTTGCATTCTCCTCTACACTCAGCAGCTCTGCCCACTTCGGGATCTTCGCAAGCACATTCGTCCCCAGGACTCCGGGCCTTCTTCTCCGCTGCCGCACAGTGGCTGCCGTGTCTTTGAGGACCAGCACTCCGCAGTCTGGGATCGTCACTCTTTCCACTTGCATGTCCAACTCCAGGTACCCGAGATATGGGATTTCGAGTCCATTAGCTCCTCGCAGAGTGAGCATCCTTCCCACGCCATGCACTCTACCGCATACAGACTCGAGCTTCTCTTTATAGAAGGCCTCCGAAACCAAGGTAACCATGGAGCCAGTGTCGATCAGGCACTCAACCTCCATGCCTGCCATTCTTGCAGTCATAGTTGGCGTTCCACCAACTATTTTTGGAAGGGGTGAGCCACTGTTAACCTCCTCCACCGCCGGGCTCACTGCGATGGAGTCTTCTCGTTTCCCGCCGGCTTCTTTGGGACTGGTCTCCTGCCCCCTTGGGTATTGGTGACTGGCGCTGGCTCGGGGCAGTCCCGGACGAAGTGTCCATCCTTGCCACAGCGGTAACAGGATGAAAACCTTGGCTTTGAAGCCAACGTGGCGAGCAGGTGATTCAGGGTCTCTTGTTGCCGGCCCAATACTTCTCTCTGCTGTTCTACGTGGACCATTAGTACCTTCTGCTGCTTCTGCAGCTCTTCGGCGAGGACCTTCTGTCCGGAGATGAGGTCAGCCAGGACCTTTTGCTGCTTCTTCTGTCCAGTAATCTCCGTGCACTGCACCTCTTCTTCCACCTCTGCAGACCTTGCTGCTGCCGATCTCCTAGGAGTAGGGTCCTCCTCCATATACCGGTGCACCTCTAGTCGAACGTCCTGGAAAGTAGCAGCTGGGTGGTCTCTTGCCCAGCGCTTGATGTCGCGGCGCAGGGTGAGGTCCCTAAGGTTCTCTACGAACTGCTCCCTTAGTAGGAGGTCTTTACTGGCCTCCGGTGCACCACTCAATCTCTCTACCCTGGAAAGAAGAACCATCAGAGCGTGTGCGAAGTCCTGCGCTGACTCCCGATCTCCCTGCCGCCTTGCGAAAAACTTCCTTCTCGCCTGAGTTGCTGTGAGCTGTTCACTGAAGGCCTCCCTCAAGATCTGGAATACACCGGAGGGGGAGGACCACTGGCTGGTTGGCCTCAGCTTCACTTCTTCTTTGGCCACTCCTTCCAGGTGAAACAAGAGGGTATCCACTGCCTCGGCCTCCGTCTGGCCCCTCACGGCCCTCTCAGCGTCTGCTATCCAGTCTTCCAGTACCCGGTCATCTCTGGTCCCACTGTACTTTCCAAATCTCTTTTCCCTGGGTACGGACACCCGAATGGTCGGCGGGGCACCGGTAGAGCTTGCACTGGGTCCGGAAGCTTCTGGCTGACCACCAGCATTTAGTTGAAGTAGTTGGTCCTCCAACTGTTTCAGTCTGTCTTGAAGGGTTTCCAGTGTATCCGCAGCTTCCCCTCCAGTAGGCATCTTTCTAGTACGTTCCCGTTTATTATTTTCTTTTTACCTCAAACAAAAAGCTCCGGAAAATAGCACTTGAATCCCACTTCTGACACCAAAAATGTAACAGGACGGGGCGGTCAGCGGCAGGAACGAGAAGGATTCAAGGATTTTTCCAAAGCAATTTATTTGAAACTCAAATCCATCAGCAATACAACAACAATAAAATAAAGCAAAATAAAATAAACGGGAACTACTGAAAGATTAAACCTAGGAACAGAATACAAAGTAAACTAAATATTTGCGTGCAACAAAATAATGCAGAATACAATGCAATTGACGAAGGACTACAGAAGAATATCAAAAACCAGGAATAACATATTCTGAACTGTAAGCTAAGTTATTGTAGAATTCGTAAAAAGAAAACGAAGATATTCAGTTGCAAACAACTACCAAATATGTTAAAACTAACACCAGAAAAAGATAAAAATACAAAACAGAAAAGCTATATTTTGAAGACAAAAATAGAACGGAAGTGAGGTATAGTGTCATGCAAATTAAATTTGAGAACCCGTGACAGAATACTTGACGCGAGTTGCACAAGCGACACGCGTGAGCGTTAAAATAACTAGTGAATGTAATGGCAAATTCTACAGTGAAATGGTATCCAACGGCTATAACATGACAAACAACGGGATTCTACATTCAAGATACAAGGTTAGAACGAAACAAAAGTAATTAAGTGGAACGGAAAAGAACTAATTTGCGAACAGATAATTCTGACCTAATAACAACACGACCTATGTGTAATGAAACAAAGACAAACTAATTCAAAAGACTAGGATATATAATAGAAGAACAAAACTAGCAAATTAACAGTTGTAAAAAAAAAAAGAGATTTGCAATAAACAAAATGAATTTACTACAGAAGGTGTGTAATAATACGCAAACGAAACGAAGAGAATATTTAGCGACGCTACGAAGAATATGCGTCTCCGATTACAAAAAATAAAGCGAATAACAACAGCGAAAACAAAACGAGAAATTCGATGAATAACAGAACAAACTGGCCTAGTTCCTACTAATTGCGATTGAAATAGCGAAATTATAACGAATAACAAAAAAAGTTACTTAAATCACTAAACAGAATTATAACTAAGAAAACACTAAACTAAGACTGAATTATTAGGTAATTAACGAGGTCAACTACTTAAGCTAAATGATAAACAAACCAAACTATCGTACCTTGCTAGAAGCAAGTTCGCTTGTTAACTTTACAGCTGCTGTAGTTTCTTCAGTGACGTCCAAACTCAACTGAATTACGGCTAAAACGTGCCTCTACTTATACCAAAGTGTTAAATAATTTTGCACGCGGCAAACAGTAAAAGGTGTGTTGCCAAACCACACTAAAACAGAACGCCAGGATTTCCTTAGGTTAATCCTACTAACTTAAAAGATAAGGTCAATTAAATGATTAAAATAATCTACCGAAAAGAAAAACCACGAAAGGCTAATATCCGCTAAGGCATTTAGGCAATAAGATGTGGGTTTGTGGGCACACGTACTATCATTCCTAAGCGATACACAAGCTTGCTAAATCAAACCCGGAAATTCCTAAGCGCAAAAATATTAGAAGTAAAATAATAGAAAAGTAGTATATTTCTTGATGTAACGAAAAGTAGTGAAATTCTAGGTCTAGTGACCCTGTCACACATATTTCTTTTATTCTTTGTTGTGCTTAACAATTAACAGAAGGAGTATATTTTTATTTCTGTTCAGTAAACTGTAATACACAGGTTTGTCCAGGAGTCTGTCTTCAGATTAACTGTCTGGTTTCATAAAGGCCCAAGTATTTTCAAGTTTAGGACTCATTGGTTCTTTGACCAGATGAGTCCCAAGACTCACCGTAACAAATTGTAACAAAGTCACTGGTCGTGGCTTCAACCACCACTTGGGTAACAAAATAGCTACCAAATGACTGATCGTTTTTAGCTCTACAGCCTCTATAACGTCCCTTAAAAGATACCACAGCAGCTCTTGCAGAGATCATTTTGTAGTGGTGTTGCAAAAAAGGGACAGAATATGGTATAAGGTATTGACGTTAATTTTTCATCAAACTGTTTTTCTTTCAGGCGCGATGCCTTTACCTCATTGTGATTGGTTCGTTGTTAAGTGTGTGCATCCTGCAGTTTATCAACGACATGATCCTTTGTTCACTTGCTCTGAGTTTTGCAGTGGCTGCAGTTATCCTCATGACCTTCCATGTGAGTTTTGTACTGTTTTCAAGCTAGAAGGCCTTGAGATTGTTTCCACTCCATTATTTTTCGTGAGATTGACATGATCACCCACTTGATTTAACATGATGAATGACATCTGGCCAGGAGAATGCACCCTCGTGGCAGGCAATTGAAAGGGATGGGAGAAATTGGGTATGAAAGAATGCTATGGTTGGTGGAGTTCCTGTTTCTTCTCCCTCTTGCAAGCATTTATTGCATTTTTACATGCTTAACCGGCCTTTAAGTCCCAATAGTGACCAACATCAATTTTCTCCTGACAATATCCGTACATTGTCAAGAGATACGGTTATGAGAATTAACAAAATGATTACCAAAGAGAAAATGCCTTGATCTTTGAACAAATTCTCTCAACTCATTCTTTAACGAAATGTATGGAGGCCAGTTTGGAAAATTTGTTTGCGGATATTGGAACTCAAAGGGTTAAATGTCCTTCCCTCCTTTTTAAAAGCCTGCTGTACAGGCTAGGTCTATAGAGAGGAAAAGCCATTATGTCATGTTCCCATGGTAATGAAATTTCAAAATTTCGTTCAACGGCGGCTAAGAAATGTACAAAAAAGCGTGATGCACGTGCAAAGTTGTTGTTTTGTTAATATAAACTTATTGCTTTTCAACTGTTCTTGATGCGGTTGTCGTCGTTGTTGCTTAAGCTCCCTATCGTTGTGATACAGAAATTTTGCTACCATGGTAACGTGACATCACACTTCTCCTTTCTATAGGAGGGTGGTTCTTAATTCTTCTCCCCTCCCCTTCCCCCACCCACAATATTATCGCCCACTCTTTTCCCACAGACAATTTACATTCTATCTGTATGAATTCAAGATAGCAGCCACATCAAATTAGTTATCAATCTTGACATTTTATTTTTTGACAGACTCTTTGGTTGTGTTTCAGGGAGAGGGAAATTCAAATGACAATCCATTTCTGAGAGTGTTTAAGCTTGTTCTCAATACCATAGCAGTTCTTTTGTTAGCTGGAGTAATAAGTTTCCTTGTTAAGGTATAGTGAACCATTACCATAAAAGCGTTTTAGTGACTATGTGACTCACGCATGTCAGCCATTCTCCTTGTAAATGTAGGGCTTGAATTGATGCAGTACAAAAACGGGGCTCCTACGCAGACGTTCGTGGGGTTTTGTAACACGTTCCTGCCCCACATTTGTGGCGAAGCCCTAAGGATGACTGGATGGCAGGCTATAGAAGAACTGAATCTTTGTCAAATTTGTTGATTTTGTCCATTTCAGGTTGTCTTGCAAATTGAGTCAGATGAGCACATCTTTAAGTTTCTCAAGTCAAAGTTCGGTTACGGCGTTGGAAGGTATGTAAGTTACAACAAAATGAAGAAAATCATTTTTACAGCTTGCCATTCGGGCAAGCTGAAGCTAGCATTTTCTAGCCAAACGTCATTTCAACAAGCCCCAAAAGCTTTTTGACGAGCAGAATTGATTTCACAGTTCTTCTGTTATTCGAATTCCTCAATAAACGTCACTTGCCCGTCGGGCAGGTTAAAAACATAATTCACTAGCCCGATAGCAAAATCCACTAGCCCCGGGCTATCGGACACTACTTTCTTTGCACGCTGGTACATTTCTTTGACTGCTCGACTACGACGTCAAACCTCCTAATGCGACGTTTTATGGAGGACGTGAACATATGACGGCGAATTTTCCTTTCTCTTTTTGAACCTGGATAAAGTCCTTTAGAATTCAACTCCTGGAAAAATCGCCCACACTTGAAGAACTGAGCGAGTCCAGATAGACGCCAAGAAAGGACGCAGATTCATTTTTTAGCGACGTTTTCACTGCTTTCGTCCTCGTCGTTGTTTGAGCTCCCTAGTAGTGTGAAGAACGTGGTCAGCACAGTTCTGGCCCCTCTCTCTATGTCACGTAACGCCGCGAGAGCTGACATGCGCAAACTGTTGTGCCTGGACACTCTCTCGCGGCGTTACGTGACATAGAGAGAGGGGCCAGAACTGGACTATGTCAGCACATAGTCACGTTTGTAGAGTGTGTGGATTGAACCTGATAGCAGATTGGGCCCCTCTACCAAGTGTAGGTACAGTTGTGCTTCCCAGTTTGTCCCTGCGCTGTTTATAAATACCCAGTGTTTGCTTCATAGAATTGAATTGCGGACACATTGAAGGGAGTTTTTCCTGTCAACGAAAGAGAACCTTTGTACCTTGTTTATGACAGAGTTAAGTCAAAACCCCTGTACAAGGCTTGAAATAATTTTGCGATTGGTGCCGGTCGAGTTGTCCGGTCAAACCTATTCTTCCGACACAACCCGGTTTTAATGAAGACACTGATTATCTATTACATCTTATCTCTTAAAAGCCCCTTTTTTTTTACGAACGCCAGTGATGTCTAATTATCTAAATTCAGACGTTCTGAGTAAAAATTTCCATTAGAAGCGTAAACGACCGGACAACGTGTCCAGTCATCCAAGGATTTGACCGGTCAAAACCTACTGTTGCCCGGACGTGGTCCCGCTGACCGGCCATAGTTTCAAGCCCTACAGGTCCTGTACCATTAAAAGTGTCCCACAGGATGATCCGAGTTTGGGTGGATTCTTTTTCAGCACACTTGCACAGCCGTCGCATTTTGCTGCTGAAATTCCAACGGGAAAATGCAACCGCTGTCCGCGTATACTGCAAATGAAACGAGCGTTTATTCCCCTGTTTCAAGATTCCTAGCCCTACTTCCAAAAGCAACAAGGGTATATTACCCACGAGTGACTGGTAAAATGTTCTTAAATGTCACCACGTTGTGAATAACGCGAGTATAGTTACGTTTGTGGTTCATAGCCTATTGACAGTCCCTCTATTTTCTCTTTAGAGATCGTCGAGCGCGCATATGAAAAGAAAAACCCAGGGGGGGGTGAATTTATTCACCGCAGGCGCAAGGGGGTAGGGGTGGGGAAAGGAGAACTTTTTTCTCGCGCTTCGAGCTCGTTGCGCTCGTTTCCCACGCTCAAAAAATAAAAATGGCTGTGGACAGGCTGTTCAAACCTACAATCTACTGCTTTGTGCTCTTTTAGCTTGAGTTAGCTAAGCTGGATTGCAGGGCTAAATGAAAACACGGGCTTGGAATTTAGAGAACGAGGTGGCCATTTGTTTTAATTGCCCCCTTTTCATTTCTCCCCAGGGATTTTGATTCACTGTTATACCTTTGCGAGGGAGCCTTCAAATTCCTTCCCACAGATAGCTACTCCAGACTGACGACCGGTGTGGTATTTCCTTGTTATGTTGTGTCCATAGTGGCCATATTATTTGTGTTAGCATATACAGTGTTTGTTAATTGGAGGTAAGACACACATTCATTTGTTGGAGTTGTAAGCAGTTTTTTTTCTTTTGGAATAGTCTAAATCGTGTTTGGCTTCTCCTCTCGAATCTGTGGGCAAGCTGCCTTGAGTTTTGAATAGCAAATCTGTTTCACTTAAATACGAATCTATGAGATATCTTCCTTTGCAAAAGATGTTCAGAATTTTTTAAATAAAATGATAATCCCACAAACATACAGTAACAAATAACGTCACCTGTGCAATGGTCTCAGGTAGTAGTATAGGAAGGTCACGAAAAAAAGACGCGCCTTTTCTCCTTCCAACCCACGAGCGGTTTTGGCATCAGTTTTCACGACCTGCCTGTGAACATTAAGCTCCCTGCCAACGACGCAATATACTTGGCCAACAACTCCCAACATTGCTGTGTTGTTCAGGTTGCATCCACATTTGCACGTAGCCTAAAATTTGGCCGGTTTCATTCGCAATGTTCAACTTTTCAACAACACGCAACTGGGATCTTCCTCGCTGTAAATAGCCCCTTGTTGATCTTGCAATTGCCTCATTACAAAAGAAAGAATTGCAGGCTTAAGATATTTTGAAGTGCGGCGAAAAAATGAAAGTTTTTGTCTCCTGCGGCAGAAAACGTGACGATATCACAGAAGACGCGGATCCACTTTTTCTTAACTCCCATCCGGAGGTGGTTTATCAAGTCATTCAGAGCGTTTTCTTTGGAGCATTGGCCCTAACTGCTCTCCGTTTTAAGTTTCTATGGACACCTCACATGTGCTTGTTTGCCGCTGGAATATTTTGTAACCAATATTTCTGGAAAACAGCGCTAACGAAGATAGGACTCAAAGAAGTATGGGTGAGTCGCTGTTTGCTTGTATACTGCTGAAACGATTCACTGTGCAAGATGCAAGAGGAAAATGTGGCTGGTTCGCTAAATTTAGCTTTTTTTCCTGTCAATTGACTTAACGAAATTTTAACAGTTTTGAGTCAAAACACTTTAAAAGGGTTTGTTCGTGAATTCTAAAACCTGGAAATTCATGCAATTTAAGTAATGTTCCGTAGGTTGGTTACTGTAGGTGATGTCAAATCGCGGACGATGTAAGGTAGAGAAGAGTAATTAGACAGTGCGAACGGCACGCAGTTTGTGTCTTTTGAACTAAGTTAAGTAAAAAATATCCAAAACCAAGGAAGGTTTTGTTACCTGGTTGGTTATGTCATTTTAAAGGACTTTTCATAGCTGTTTGGCGCGAAATTCACCGGTCGAAAACTCTGGTGACGTCATACGCGATTGACCAATAGGAGAACGAGTGGTGTTTGTCGCCACTCCCGACACAGCATATGTCAATCATTTTTTCCCGCGTAAATTTATGATGAGATTCAAATCCATTCAGGCGCAACAAGTCGACCTCGCGACTTCGTTTTTTGCTCGGTCGCTCATTGAAGCTTTCTCCACTTGCTCTTAAGAACGTACGAGAAGTCGACTTGTAGCAAGTCTAGAAAAACTTGAACAAGTAATAGGAAGTCCTAGAAGGTGAAGAACTCAAAAGAGTACGAACCCTGTTTCCTATCCTCATGCGTAAAACCGTGTCCGTTATAGGTGATACAAGTTTGGCACAGCATGTCTTGGGGCGTTGGCGAATGGTGCCGATATGAAAATTTCAACTGCATTGTATATTTTCGTTCTGTAGGCGAAGTTCACGGGACATATTGTCGCTGCCTTTCTTCTGGCCATTTTGCTGTTCAATGTAAGTTTATACTTAAAAAAAGTAATAAATGGTTTGTTAAAATATGTTATTTCTTAACGCACGACACACTAAGAGCTCTTGAGAACTCGGTTGCCATGTGTTCATGCTCCATGTGTTCATGCTTTCCACGTCGAAGTGGAATCTATAAGTAGGATTCAAAGAAGCAGGAATAAATCACCAAGGAATATTATATACCTCATTGTTACTTAATTTCGCGGGTACTTAATTTCGTGATTTTGGCCAGACAGTATTTCGCGGGGTTTTATTTTCGTGATTTTAATAGGCAAATGTGAAAAAAGACATTAAATGTCGCGAATTAAGCATTCTCAACCTCACTTTATTGTTTGTCAATTCCGTTTTGCTGGGAAAAGCAAAACGCATAATTATTTATCTACTTCATACGTGTAATCTTTGCAACTTTCACAACAGGAAATACAAAATGGAACTTACAGTAAAACCTGATAACGTGTGTAGTTGTCGATGTATGTCTAGTATGGCTATTAAATTTTTCGCAAGCAAACAATTCGACTTTGTTTTCTAGCGTCTTCCGCGAGCGTTGGACGAACTCAAGGAATTGAGGGAGTTTTATGATCCTGACACGGTAGAGTTGATGAAGTGGATAAAGTGAGTACAGAACTCTTTGTTGTCCCGGCCCACCGTAAACGCTCGACCCCACAACTTACACGACACACCCCTACTTTTGTCCTTCGTAAACAAAAGTGACCTCAGTTTACGAAAGTGTAAATGATACTCGCAGTTAAATGAACAACCTAAGCGGTTGTTCATTTAACTGTGAGGATCATTTCCCCATTGATATATTTATCCGCAGTTCAAATTATATTCTCAGAAGTGACCATTGTCATGGTGGACCATGACGTGGCTTATTCACTGTGTTATATGCCAAGGCGCCTTGTGCCGTATTGCCTTTAGCCGTGGAACTCTAATGCTGTGGTGCCTTATATATGTTGTGATACTGTGTAATATGGTACCGTATGCTTAAATTGTCTCTAGTCCCTTCCACCAATATACGGTGCAAGCCAATTAAGTCGCGTTTTTATTGGTCGTCTGTCAGTAAAGCCGTGTTATTCACCGTAAATATGATTGGTGCGTTTTAATCCGCCTTTTATAACAGTATAATGGTCGTTTCATTGTTAGTCAAATTGCACTACTTATAAACTGTGTGACAGTTAACTTGTTGCATTCTAGTCAGAATACCCCACCGGAAGCGTCATTTACAGGTAGCATGCAGCTTTTAGCAGGAGTGAAGCTATGCACAGACAGACACATCACCAATCACCCACACTACGAAAACAAGTTTCTTAGAGAAAGAACAAAACAGGTGAAAATTATAATCGAACTTATCATGAACATGAGGCAAAGGAATGCCAAATCCCTGACGACAGCCGGAATAGCAATGCCTGAATGGTCTTGGGGTCTTCCGCTCAGTGTTTGAACGCTTGAGCCAGCGAAATATGAGTATGTTCCTGGCCCCGGATGTTTAAATGTTGGATGGCGCTATCCACCGGGTAAATCACTATCCAGCGGATGAATATTAGGGAAAACAATTACATTATCCTCGAGATAGTGATTTATCCAGTGGATAGCGTTACCCACCTCACGAACAACTGGTCCCTGGCGTAATTAGCCTGCAAGCAAGTTCTCTGTTTGGAAATCCCCAGAACCCCTAGGGCACGCGCGAGCGAGCGGTCCTCGCGTTGCTAGTCGCTCACGCGTCATTTTTTGCGGTCGCCTCTCGCGATGCTCACTAAAATGAAGAGGTTGCTCTGAGCTGACTAAAAAAGGCCTTTTTCTAGCCGTTCATATGTGAAAGGCGTCCTATACGGAGTAACCTTGCTATTGATAAGTTTAAAGTGTGACTTTACCTCCTTTTTTCTGTTTTGTATTTCACTTGCGAGTTTGGCAAGACAAAGGAAAGAAAAAAAGATGTGTCTCACCGACTTATGCAAGGTGGTATCCATTTCTATTACAGCGACTGATGATTAAAAACATTGACGAATGATTGAAGGGACTGCTGTGTCACGGCTGTCGAGTTAAGGAAACTACAAAAATGAACTTTGGAAAACTGTTTGGCTAACAAGTTTTCAAGTACAATTTTAGTCTCAAGTTTCTCTATCCGTGCCTAATTTTTCATTTGACTTGTTATTAATACTTTCTTTTAATGTTGTTTTGAGCGATTATGTTTATGTTTCACTCAATTTGGTGGCAGTTGCTGCGGTTAGAATTTTGATAATATTCGTGACGAGTACAACTCCGTTGAGATGTTGCGGTTGATAAAAAAGTTTCTTGCGCCTGTTGCTTTAGATAGCACTCTATCCTTTGACTCCTTCTTACTCTCCTTCTTTCTTTGATGTAGGTTTATCAAATTTACGCCAAACGACCTCCGAGAGAGGTGTACGAAATCCTGCGTCAACATGGCACAGACTACATCATATTAGAAAACAGCATCTGTCTCTCACGACAGAGCTTGGGCTGTAGACTAATCGACCTCCTGGACTTGGACAACGGTCACGTGATCGACGGAGGCCAATTAGAAGAAGGATTACAATTTACAAACATTCCGCGTTTTTGTAAAGCTATAAAAATAGATAGCAAGAATTTTAGTCCGTATTTTAAGAAAGTATTTGAAAATCGTACGTTTTATTTATACAAGTTACTGTAGTAGGAATCTAAATATATAAAAGTGTCACGAAAAATATGATCAGGTAACTTGTGTTTATTTAAAACTTGCTTGACATTAAGGTTTTAACTGACAACTATTTAATGGTCGATTAATACTTTCTTTTCTGTTAATAGTGTAGTCAATAATTTCTCTACACTTTCCATTCTTTTGCGCCCCCTAAGTGGCCAGGATATCTTAAGTTAAGAAAGGTTCTTGTGACCTCAGAAATGAGGGGCGGACTTTTAACAACATTTAGACTTGTTAAAAAGTGTTTTACTCAATAGAGTTGTGAGTCACTGTTATTTTTTTTAGTCTGAGGCTGGCGAGACCTAAATATAGGTAACGCGTCGTAAAGCTTCTTGACCGCTGTCGTTAAGTTTTTTGGTTGGTGTAATGGTATAATGTCTTTAGTGTTGTAAGCTCTCGTTTCCAGTTGGTTCACAAAACCCAGATTATTTGCAATGATCATCGTAAGGAAAAATAGACCCTTGTGTCGGAAGTTGATATTAGGTAGGAAATAAAGGTTATCAAATTTTATTTAGTTTTGTTTTGTTTGCGTGTACGTCTGGTAAGAGTAGTGTCCAGTCCCCCTCCCGCTTTCCCTTGACTATAGGAAGTGTTGAGCCATCAGGTTAGCTTGCGTTGCAAGCATTTTAAAGAAGAGAGGATTTAGGGCACACCCAGAAACAAAACTGGTTGATTTGTTAACCCTGTCACTTCCAAAGTGGCCAAAGTCAAAATTCAACATTTCCCCAAAACAATTAGTATGCTAAAGAGTTTTCATTTGAATGTCACATGCATCAACGGATTCCTTTCCCTCAACAGTTGAAACTACAGTCTTAATAAATAGTACCGTGCCATGTGAAAGTACCGTTTAAGACATTTCATTTCAAAGGTAACCATACTAGATTTCACACAATTTCGTTCAAAGGTTCAAAAGTTAAATCCTCCTTACGAGACCGACACCAACATTCACTCGGACTAAGCTTTCCGCTGTTGCTACTCGCGGTACACTTGACATGGCCATACCCATAAATAGCTTGCTTTCCGGTTTCCCTATTAGTTTGTTCATTCGTTCGTTCCTTTTTTGTATTATACTGGCAAGGAAAGAAACACAATACAAGACTTGTGTTCTAAGAGCATAACAACTTTCCTTTTTGACAAATTAAAAGTCAATTCAACGCCTACTTATGACCCGATCCCTGAAAACAAAATAACTTAACAACAACACTAGTAAGGGAGAGTGCTAGAAGGCCTTCCTTTCTTTCTCCCTGATTTTTTTTTCTGACCTGACCGCCGATTCTTGCTCCCCACTTAAAAAGGGAGCGGATTACTAATCGGGTCGTGTCCTTATTCCCCTGGACAAATTTTGTAAAATGATATTTAGGGACGGACTATTATTTTTTTGACGGGGGAGGGTGGGGGGTGGGGGATGTGGGTGCAGAGGCTGTGAAATAAATTGTATGCAAGTAAAAAAAAATGTTTGCATGTGAAAATTTTCCGACACCCCCGTCAAAAATATAATGGTCCGTCCGTTAGCCTGGCATAAAGGCTGCAACACCTAGAAAGGCCTAGACCAAAAAAGGCTCCCATCCATTGAATCCTAACATTGAATCCCTAATACGTCAAATTATGTCAGTTATAAACCTTTTTTTACCTACCCCGGTTGTTCAAACGTTGGATATCCGTATCCATGATTTATCCGGTGGATAGCGCTATCCAGCCTTTGCACAACCAAGGCCTGGACTTTTCCCGGGATATATAGGCTAATAAAATGTCACCAAGTCCTCGTTTACAAACCAATGAGTGGTGCCGAATCTCCCAGTTGTAGACCTGGATTAGTACAATTTAACTTGTAGAAAAATATGAAACGGCAAACTGATCGGCTTACGGCAAGGCGATGAAGAAGTAAACAAAAGAATAAAACAAAAAAAATATATATTAAGCTTGTTTCATACTTTTCCCAGGAGCCTGGAACGAGAAAAGAGTCTGTTGAGCCCACCGAAATACACCTTACAATACAGCGGAAACACAAACAAGAACAAAATGGCGGCCAAAAGAGTTTTCGATCTGAACGAAGCTTCGGTATTAAATTAGAGTCATTTATTGTTTTGTTTCCCATCTACCATGCACATGACCGTATGCGTGGACTTGATTATCATGTATTCTACTGTCCTCACAGATTGTTGACTTAAAAGCAGAGCTCATTCGTAAGGAATCTGAGTTCAAGCGAGAGAAACTTGCTGGAACTGAACAGAAAATCAATCGACAGCACAAGGTAAGTTTATTTAAGCTGTTATCTGTGCGTACCTCTAAAATATTGGCTTAAATTTAATAGAATTGATAAGCAAACAGTACAGCCAGAAATTTCTGTCTTGTTTGATTCCTGAAATTTTGTCAGATAACCTCAACTATTATAAACGACTTCATATGCTATAGATTTGGACAATAATATAGGTTTTGTCACCTTAGATCCCCCGCGTGACTCAGACAAACTTTGCATTCTACTCCAAGGGAAACATACGTTTCCGACATGAAAATTGTTCATAAAATTCGCAGTGAGCGTTTTTAAAATGTTTTTGAGCATGATTCCGATATCTAAAAGGCACTACTGCTATTGGGCGCAAAACCTGGTCCAGTAACTCAAATAAATCGTTAAAATCAGAAAATAAAGCGACTCGATCAAAGAAGGCTGCTGAAATCGGATCCCTAGCTCTGTGTCTGAGGCAGAAAGCACCGCTATGCACTGAAACATGACATAACATTATTGGCTGTTTAATACTCCAAAACCGAAATTGCTAAAGAGAAAATCGAGTTTGGATGTGCTTCTCGCAAGCCTGTGACAGAATATCTAGGGTGAAAAGCACACCAATATTAGCACAAACTGGAAATTGTATAAGTTTGTTCTGTTGTTGTGCGGCCAGGTAGACCCATATGAATCCGGATGAATACTTTAGTACGTTATATCCTGTAGTACTAAGTAGCGTAACATAAGCACTCGAAAAAAAAAACTGAGCAACCTTTGCCTATAAATATTATTGAACCAAATGCACCATTTCATGCACAGCTATGAAACCCTGCTCTCCACACATTTTAACATAATTTCACCCACAGCATTATGACACCGCATAAGAAATAAAGCCACAGTCTGTACATTTTTTTCTACGTTTAACGCTGTCTTGGCACGCGTTGATTATTTTCAGGATATTTATTATCAAAACCAAGCTGTATTTTGTTTCCTTTAACGATAAACATCTTCAAAGGCGACGAAAATTTGTTGCCGAACGTGACTTTCCCACTAAACTCTTACACTCATCAGTTTTAATGTCTGAGTCACAGCAGGGACCTGAAATTTGTGACGTCATTAGTAGAAAGCGCTATTCATGGCGATTGTTGATTTTTGATATCATAGCTTGTTCTGACAGTAGGTTATGAACATAGGGTTGCAGTTTGTGAATTTCGTTTTTAAGGAGCTGATTCGGATGATTGACAGCATTTGAAGTTATTCCAAGCTGAAATTTTAGTAAATTCTACTAACCCAATACCCTCGTCTTTTCTTTTTTTCTAGAAACCTCCAGTTTGGGCAAAAGTGAAAAAAGAGACCAAAGATACAGGCTCAAAGACAACTGCTATTAAACAAGATGAACTGTCCTTGGAAGAGCAACAAGCCCTGCAAAAGTCAAGGTAATATTTTATTGAGGGGAAATTAAGTTTTATAAAAATGATTAAAATTGAACAGATCAAATGGCCATAACATTATCTATCCTTAAATCTCAAAATGCCATAAAAATTAATTGATATCCACATTGGCTTTTTCCTAAAACAAAGAATGACCTAAAACCATGTAAAACCACCTTCAGAAATATAAACTATCCACGGAGAATATATTTTTTTTCATTTTATTCGTGTCAATTTTTGTGCGTCTGTCATCAATTAGCCTGCATGCACACCGGATATGCCTTCTTTTTCCGCCTGTGTCTTGTTTCCTGTAAACAATCTTAATACTTGGGAAGGGTGTCTAGAAAAGAGATACAATCAGTCCAGTTTAGTTGTTGTACTTACACTGTACAGTGCAAGGATCAAACTAAAAATCAGTAGGTATACTTCAAGAATTTTAGCTGCTGTGCATTTTTCGTACCAAAGAAGTACGTTTCCTTTTCGAGACAGGTACCGTATTTATTCAATTAACCGCCCTGGGCGCTTATTAAATTTTTGGACCTTGAGAGTGGGCGCTTATTCGAGATGGGCGCTTATTCGAGGCTGGGCGCTTATTAAATTTTCACCATTTTCAGCAAGTGAAGTATGTTTATTTTGCAACAAAATAATAAACGCGAAGAAGTAACAAAGCAAGGTTTTTGTAAAATACTCTGAAGAAAACTCCGTCCTCGGGGAAGTTATTCACTCAAGTGGGTGGGGCGGGGGTGAGCGCTTATTTGAGTTTGATTGGGAGAAGGAGGGGTGGGCGCTTATTCGAGGTTGGGCGCTTATTAATTTTTTCTCCCTTTAGGATGGGCGCTTTTTCGAAGTGGGTGCTAATTCGAGGTTGGGCGCTTATTCGAATAAATACGGTAATTCTGGGACTAATTCTTCCCGCTCAAACTGTCAGCCAAAATGATAATAATTGCCCATATGTGATTCAATATTATTTCTCAAACTTACAGTCAGAATTGCAGTTTCAGCAATTTATTTAACCCTTTAAGCCCCAAGATCCACATACAAATTCTCCAGACCGATCTCCATGCATTTCTTTGAAGAATAGTTAAGAAATTTATTTATGTTTTAAGATCAAAGCATTCTCCCTTTGGTAATCAATTTAGTAATTCTCATAACCTTTACTCTTGATGATCTGCTGATGTGGTTAGGAGAAAATTGATATTAGTCACTCTTGGGACCTAAAGGGTTAATAAACTTCTTTCCAAAGGTTTAGAAAAGGAATGCAAGTGTCCTCTTTGGTGAAAGGGGTACCATTTTTCAGTCTGAATATTTTCTAAATTTCTGTTAATATCTAGTGGGTATGAAAAAACACATGCTCTTCTTTCTAAGCTCTCTTGATTAACCTTCCTTCTGACAGACAAGTCTTGGAAGCTAAAGCAGCTTTATATGAAAAGATGGCAAAAGGAGAGATTGAAGGTACTGTGTCATTGATTAATTGTTTCCAATCTTTGCTTTGAACCCTGGTAACCGTTACAAACTTTCAGGCTAGTCAATTATCAGGAAAGTACTAATCACATATACAATAATTATTATCATCTTAATTAACCTCATACCTTTCATGAGATTGATCTGGTTAAAACTATGCTCTCTTAATCTTTTCTGTCTTAAGATGAAGATGATGGTGAAGATGGAGGCAGATTCCTGGTAGATTTTCACAAGAAAGTTTATTCAAAGGTGATGAATTTGTCATTTGGAACAGTCTACTTTCTTTGGCTTACTTTCGTCACATTTACATTCTGTGATTCTGAAAATGTTTACACAATTTTTCACACTACTGCATGGTATAGCAGATACATTATTGGATGTGTTGTACTTGTCTAGTAAGGCCCCTCTTCTGTTAAACAGTATTCAGCTCAGTTGATTCAGAACTCAGTCTTTTGTTGTTTCTTAGCCCTAATACTATTCATAGGAGACAAAAGAAATTCTGCTTTGACCTGAATTTCATTGAATTTTACTTGCAACAGGTACGCATGAATATTTTACACCCAAAACAGCTCTCCAGGGGACGCGGTCTATTTGTTAAATTTCAAAGTCAGGCATAACAAATAACATCGTGCACATACTTGATATTCCTCTTTTTGCCCTAAAAACGTTTGCGCCAGCTATGTAGGCTAAGTGCAGTCAGAATCTCTAATTTAATGCTGGATGTTAATTGTTACAACAAAAAAAGAATCAGGAATGCAACCTGAGCCCACAGCCATATTTTCTTTTTCTTAAAGATGGCCCTTACCCCTAGATCCCCCCCCTCCACCCTACTAGCTCAACCACTGGTTGTGTAAGTGGAATCAATTCTGCTTGTAAACATATGTTTATTAAGCTCAGGAGGTACTTTATATCAGCCAGTCATTTTGCATAAGGGCCATTGCACTTGCATGACAGCATCAGCAACTCAATAGCTTTGATGATGAAATCTAATTGTCAGGATGAAGAGAGTCATCAGGATTCAGACACACTGAAAGATGAAGACATTCCACCACCATCAGGACCTGAAGAAGAATGGTGAGAAACCGATTTTACTGTACCTTTACACCTTACATCTGTTTAAACACCTGAGGACTGAAGCTGGCAAGTCACTAGTCGTTAGCTGTTGTCTAAAATTTCTTGTCCAGTCTATTCTTCTAAACTATCAAGCATCCGCTAAAATATCCACCAGCTGTTTTCTGACCCTTTTCTGCAAAGTTCCAAACCAACTTGTTTCTAAACATTCCTTAGCCCAATACTGTAGGCCCTTTTCAGCTGACGAGTCTTGTGGAACAAGCAATGTGCATTCTAGGACAAGATGAACATAAAGCTTCTACATATAATTTTTAAAGGTGGTAATTTCCTTGGTGCTTTTCCCAGTGCATTTCGTTCTCCCCAGCATAGTGTGTGTTTTAATTTTTTTTTATTTTTAAAATTTTTTTTCAACAATATGACTTAAAAACGGCCAAAGGCCTACAGTGCTGTAATAGTCACCAGCTGTTTTCTGATCTTTCTTCCTGGTCCGCCAAGCTCTTCTACTGTAGCTCTTCCAATTATCATAGTTTGTCTTACTTTAGTAACTTCCTGTCTCCTCGCAAGTCACCAGATTTTATCAGTAGGCGAAAGGTGAAGTCTTTTCCCTCTCTCAGCTACTGTCACGAACATGTCATTGTATAAAATACCATGTGAGGAAAGCCTTCTTTTGTCTTCTTGAGTGAAGAGGAGAAAAGGAGGTTCTGCCTGAATCACGACAAACCAGGTCGCCATAACCTGAACTTCTGAGCTAGTCAATCTTTTTCTCTCTTGTCAAACTGTTTTTTTTGACTGCAAGCATCCCTTAATTGGTAAGCCGATAGTGATAACTGAGCTTGCTGTTGCAAGTGCATGGTTCATTAGGCCTGGGTTTGAAACTATAATTATCTTAGCAACATGCCATGCATGCTCAACAAAGATCTTACTTAATTCATACAGAGTCTTTCCCAAAAATCTGTGGAGAGAAGAAAAGGAATAAAATTTACTATTAATAATGTTTTTAAATATAATTGTTGTTTCCAGGGTTGACTATGTAGACTCTTTAGGTAGATCCAGAAGATGTCTTCGAAAAGATCTGAAACATTTGCAAGAGATGGACAAAGATATCAGCAATCGACAGAGGTTAGTCTTGAATATTTTGCTCAGTTTAAATCTTTTCCAGTGTTCTTGGTCAGTTAATGTATATAGTCTGCTCTTGCATTTCTGTGGTTAAAGGCTGCAGTGCAAGACTTGGGGTGACAACATATATTGATTTGTTTGAAGTGGTCCGCCAAAGCCTGGACCTCATTTTATCTTGGGTGCACATTGCGGTGGAACGCCTAGCCTTCTTTAGCCCTTTATTTGTGAGTTGCAAAATAAGCTGTGGCAAAAACTTATTGGGCATATATATAGTACATGTTGTGTTCAATTTACAGTATTATCTTTGGCTTGAATATTTGTTTTTTCCAACTCAGCTTCAGACTCTAATCATATCCCCCAAAACATGGGTAAAAGAGCACTGTACAAGAAAGTCATAAAGACCTTGTCATTCATTTTTTCATCCTCCACATTTTTGCCTGCCTGTTTCTCTGTAACGTTAAGCTAATGAGAGTGCATAACAAACATGACCTTTAACTTTTTTTTGTGCTTTATTTTTAATACAGTCCACCAACGCTGTTGTCTGAAGACATGAGAAGAGAACTGATGAGGCAAAAATGGGAGAAGGAAGAAGAGGAAGCCCTGAATAAGCCAGTTGGACCTGTTCACTATCAAGACATAAGATTTGATGGTAAATAATTTTGATTTGTTCAGGACAAATTAGACAAATTACACACGGATGAGATCCTCCTCAATCTTCATAATTCCACATCCTACTCAGCCTCATTTAGGCAGTTGACTTGAGGCAAGTCTAAGCCTCATTCAATAATTATTGCTAATTAGATAAATAGTCACACTGTAGGATTTCGTTCAGTCTTCTTGGCAGCTGCTCGGGCTGGAGTCACGCCTTAATGCTGGAGGCGGGAGTATTGCATGGCTGCAGCCCGAGCAGCTGTGAAGGAGACTAGATTTCATTCAGAACCACCAGCTTTAAAAGGGCAACAGGAAAGTACTTTTTATTTGACAGTTTAGAGGTGGTACATAAGACTGGGTTGCTGTTGTGTGGGATTGTGCTATGGGATTTTTTTGGATTCTATCACTTCTTTAACTGGCCATTACTTATTTGGGGAGAAAGGGTGGTGTGGTGATGATAGACTGCTCACAGTTCTTCTTTTTTTCTGTAAGATCGTCGAGATCGATCGCTTTGCGTTACGGCCTGCCATATTGCATGAGTGTCAAAACTACTTAGAGGGCAGTTTTTTCTCACCCCCCTCCCCTTACAGCTATAATCCCCGATGCCCACCCCCTTGGTACATTTGAAAATCAAGTTGGCCGCCATTAACAGTAAGATGCGCTGTATCTCGATGATCTCACGAAAAAATAGGGGACTGTGAACAGGCTACGGTGATGAGAGCACTTGCTTCCCATCAATGTGGCCCAAGTTGAAATCCCGTTGTCTACACCATATGTGGGCTAAATTTGTTGTTAATTTTTCTTCCTTGCTCAGGGTACTCCAACACTTTCAAATTCCAATAGGCCATTTGCATGATGACATTTTGCTACGGTCAAACCCCGTTAATACAGACACTGAGGGAGCCACAGAAAGTGTTCATATTAACGGGTGTCTGTATTGAGCGAGCTGAATTAAGAGAGAATTTAAGGGATTTTTTTCCCAGGGACAAAGCAAACTGTCCGTAATAATGAGGTGTTCGGTTTGACTGTACTATGACCAGAATTCTTCAAGGTTTTCTTTCTTGTGCAAATTAGGGCTTTTGTTATTTAAACCTCGCTGGGATTGCCAAATTTAATTTGAAAAGAAAAACTAAAAGGATTCTGGTCGTAGTAGAAAAATGACGTCAGCGTGCAAATGGCCTATTCGATCTGTAACTCATGGACACGTTTAAGATCTCCTAAATGTCTGGTGGGTAAACAATTACAATTGTTATATAGCTGGGAATTTTTTCTCAACAGTGCGTGCTCTCGTTGGTTACTTCGAGGTCACATGACATTTAACAATCAAACTGTTTCCTGCCAAAATCTCTGAGCGGGCAAAATTGCAAAAAAATCTATGACGTCAGAAGGTAATAGTTCACTGTCACTGACTGCTCGCGAGATTTAGTTTCATAAATTTTCTTGCAGTTTTCCCTCCATGAACCTATACAAAGTTGAAACTCGAAAAAATTTCCGGACAAAAGCTTCCAACTTTGTTTGTGGGGTGAGGGGAGGGGTTGGACCTGTGTGAATCAGAAAACGCCCCAGAAATGCAAAAGTGTCCCAAGGCTTTTGTTTATGATTGTAGGTTGCGCATAAACCTAGATCTATTGTTTAGCCCCAAAACAGTCCCCCAGGGCAATTCGGCACAACTTGGGCCCAGTCTCAGCAGCGACCTTAAAATAGCCTCCATATTTGAGCAGTTACTCTTTTGAGGTCATTCGTAGGCTCGAAACGTTTGATTATGGACTCGGCTAGCAGTTGATCCAGTCTGGTCCAGTGACTTACATCGAAGCTGAAAGTACAGTATCCTTTAGAGAATATAAATATATAGTGTAGTAAGTGTACTCGCAGTTATGGTTTTTACGACGACGTAACGTTTTTAATCTTCTTTCTTTTTCTAACCAAAAGAGGTTCGCAACCATGGTGTAGGATATTATCAGTTTTCAACGATCGAAGAAGAAAGACAAGAGCAGATGAACACTTTAGACAAACTAAGGGAACAGGTAGAATGTCTTTATTTAGGCAAACAAATAGAGCGATTTTCGTATGACCTTGAAATGAAAACGCGCGAACAAAACAGAAACAGATGATCATTCTTCACTTTCATCTACAACCGCAGTTCAAAAATGAATTATTTTATATATACTTCACATCAAAACAGAAACAACAAACAAACGGAAATACAGCGATTTGATTGGTTTATCGAACGGGTACAAACGCGCGTGGCTTTTGGTTGGTTAAGCGAACGCTCGGGTGAAAAAACTTCATGCCAGAGAACTTTCTAGAAATCAAGCGATACTTCGCTTTGACGTCATGCTGCAACAAGATTGGCCAATCGAACAATGCCTTCTCCATATTAGGGTTTTCTTTGGCGGGAAAACGAAGAGTCCATGTCTTGATCTTTTCATCCATCGGCTGATAAAACAAATAACGAACACTTACGGAAACCTTTTTTCAAGGTCACACGAAAATCGCTCTAGTGTTCTATAATTTGCCCCCGACATCAAAGTGAATCCCAATTTTCATTTTGTTAATTTTCTAGGTTTCATGAAAAGGGCTTAAATTTCTCCTCGGTGTTCACTTGTAGAAATTTGCAATGTTTTTTCTTAACACGATCTTTTCTCTCTCATTAGACAATGGAACAGCGACTCCGCGCTCAAAAACTGAAAGACAAAAGGAAAGCTGCCTTGGACGCCCGACTCGCGAAAGTACGAGAGAGAAAACTAAAAAAGCTGAAATCGTCAGGGGAAGTAGACGAAGAAACAGTTACTGACAGTAAACGAACTGGAGAACATGTCATACAAACATCCAAAGGGGAAAGCATAGTGGAACAAAGTGTTGAAGAGAAGTCCGTCGATAAGGAGACGAAGGAAATACAGGAAGGTTTTCCTACCATAAGGTCAGAAAGGAAACCTGATTTACCAGAATGGGCAAAACACAAGATAAGTAAGTAGATCGACTGTCTTTGTTTTTATCATTTTTAAACTAAATATGTGCATTGTTTTAGGTCTGTAAATTATATCCCTGGGAAGTCCTCGCAATTCAACGAAAAAACACAACGCTTTCTATTTTGTTCTATATTTTGACATAGACAATGAAACGTAAATCCTGATTGGGCTGTGCCACAGGTAGCCCAATGATTGTGAGCACTTGAAATTGCAGCATAATGACTTCCTCGTGAAACTATTGACACTTGGATCATGCAGGCTAAAAGTTTGTGTGTATCGTTTCGTCTCGTTTCAGGACAAACTTGTCACTTGTGAACAGGTTCACTTTAACTTGCTTTTAATTCAATTGCTATTGAGAATGTTATGTACGGCCATTATATTCGACCGTAGGTAGGATTTTGTCGGACTGACGAGTTTTCCAATGATTCTTTGCGACAAAGACAGTTCATTGACGGCTTTCTGCTTTCTTCTCAGAGCAAACCGACAGAGGCGGTTCATTTTCACGTAGTGATCCTCGGTCAGAAAGAGTTCAAGAGTTTGCTCCGCCCGCTTTTTACTACGAAGATACAAAAGAGCAGACGAGCAAAAAGACTTGGAAAGAACCAGCGAAGCTGTTCAAACATAAAAATGAAACAGCTGATAAAGGACCAGAACAGCAAGACGGAAACCTTGATAAGCGTTATCAAGAACAGAAAACTGACAACCCAGCCCCAGAACAAAATCAATATCAACAAACACCGAGACCACCCCTCCTTGAGTTTCCAGTTCTTCCACCTCCCCCTCAGGAGTATGTTCAACCGCAATGGACTGGGTATCAGTGGCAACCTCCTGTTAACAGACCACCACCTCCTCTAACTTATCAATTGCCATGGCAACCGAGATTTCCAATCAACGTCCCACCACCTCCTCCATCGCTATGGCAACAGAATATGCCTCCATGGCAACCTCCTCAAGGCCCTCCCTCGATGGGCGCGACCCTTTTTCCCAATTATCACTCGTCATGGAATGAAAGTACACCAAATAGTTACATATCCCTTTCGGAGACAAAAACAGAATTGAACACTGGTGATACTGTTGCTCTAGAAAAATCTGATACAGGAAATATCGAAAGGGAAAAAAATCCTGACAGAACTACACCCTCAACACAACAGGTGGCTGAATTTGTAGCTCAGCTGCGTTCAAGTAGTTGAAGAGAGAAATACACCTTACTGTCCATTTTCCTCCAAGCCCAGCAGCTAATAAGAAACTAATAACTAATAAAAGAAACAAAACAACATCAAGATGTGGAAGTCTGTTGCTTCAAGAGTAGTCACTATTGTAATACTTCTTTTTGCTTATATTTCTCTTTTGTCCCTTACGTTTTCTGCTTATTACTGCGAGCTCTCCGGGCGAACATCCTTGTAACCATCCCACCATTCTTGGTGGAGACTCTGTGCCTAAAAGCAGTAAGAGCTAAAACTCGATTTGGGAGGCTGTTTTAGCCATGATGATTTTGAGTATGCGTATGTCAAGCGATGTCATCTTAACTTCGATTCGCACGCTATTTCCCTTGTTGCTTCGACTAAGTTCAGAGCACGTTTGCTTGGATGCGAATGTTCGTAATGTCAAATTAATCATGCCAAATTCAAGCTTAATTTGTTGCTAGAAGCTTTTTTCAAGCGACTTAGGGACATTTTACGGGGAAGACAATGTTCTTTTGCAAGATTTTAGCGTTTTTAGTTCGGTCAGACGATTGTATCAAACGACCCTCAATCGAGCCCTGGACCGCCTTCACCGTACATCAGATTCGTGCTGAAGAAGATCGACTTTTAGATTACCTTGCATTTGATGCTCTTGAGAGACAGACAGAGACCTTGTCCCTAACCTAACTGCCCAATGTGTTGCGTTAGTTCTTTTAGACTAACGCAAACACTGCCTAGAAATGAACAAGCATTTCTCAGAGGGAAGCGTAATGAAATAGAAAAAGAAGCGTCCGCGCCTATTTGTAGTCGATATCAGACCTCTTACCCGACCACTCATGTCGGGTCGTTCCATAATGCCTCTCGTTGCGATCGCTGGCCCTCGTCTCGCGCGATCTTTCGAATAACCAGAAACTAATACACGATTTTTAAAACTGGATTTTATTGCACCTATACCTCCAGGAGTTATGTTGAAGAGGCAACAACAGACTCCCACTTTTCTGCAACACTTTAACCGCCACGGCTAATATGACCAACTTATCTTTACACTGTCCTCTTTTCACCTCCATTTCTCTGGAACTCTGGAGAAGCCCTAGATCATTTCCGAAACAGTAGAGTTTATCGCTCTCTCGATTGATGACAGGAAATGCTTGTTTGGAATAACTGTTGTAGTCCGAAGAGCTGTTACACTACTCATTCATGAAAAAGGCGAATTAAAGGCCAGCAAAAAATAAATAGAGGTAAAACAACATCAAGGTCTAGAAGTCACTGAAAACTGATCTGAATATCAACCAGTACAGCCTCGTTCCCAGTCGTCCTCGGCGATTTCGGATGTGACGTCACCTGTCAAGCTTGTCGGGAAAATTCGCCTATCGCTATCGCGCTCGGTTCCAAGCCTCCTCTGGTCACTCGGATAGCGCGAACAGGCCTGGGTACGAGGCTGCAACCAGTATTAATTGTCTGATAAATGCAGCATTTGGTAAGTGGTTGATACGTGGTGATTAATAACAAAGTGACTATTGTCAATTTCGTGAGACAGAACATAATAAAGTAACCTTATCAAACACAATCTAGGATGTATAATATCACACAAAAATTTTCTCTTGTTTAATTATTCACAGTATATTTTTTTGGTATTTTTTCGGTAGTGCGGGGAACGATAAAGCACTGCCTTTACTGATTAGGGTTAAGCACTGTTTTGAAACTGGTTAGGTTCTTTTTTTGGGATGGGGTTGATGCTAGCTATATGTAATTAAATTATCTAGCAAATCGTCAGTGGTCTAATGGTTGGACTTTCTGGGTGGCGGGCTCGAATCCTACTCTCTTTCGTGTCAATTTCTTTTTTTTAAATTGAAGAGACTTGCACTTTAATGAACATTTCCAGCTTGAAATATCATCTAAGTGTGATATAAAAGCAGAAAACAGTTCTACTTTGAGTAACTTTCATGAGTGGAGAAAGGGGCTACCGCCGATGGGATCTAATGCTGACCTGATTTTAATTTCATCCAGACCCCCCCGTTCCTGTTGGGCGACAGGGCCTTCTGGTCCTGGTTCGGAGAAACCCGCCTGCTGAGAGGGGCAGAAGAGTCTGGAGAAGAGGATGCCTTCGTACGTGACATAGCTTGTAGTATCCGCTCATCTCTTTTAAATGAAAATGTGGGCTCAAAATGATGACGGGACAGCTCAGATACAGCGCGGTTTGCTGGCAGTAACTAACTTTCAATGGTATTTCAGTGGCCATTACAGAGTAGTATAGGTCGTCGTCTTGGACGATCTCTCGAAAATAGTGGGATGAGCGCCAGAGGCCAGTGCGCAGTCTCATTTCTAAAATTATTCTGAATAAGGGACATATCTTTCATCTGGAGGCGAAACCCTTCCTCAGCGAGTTCAGCTGTCATCCACACGTACTTTTGGTTAGTAAAAAAAGCTGAGTAAACTGAACTCAAAATACTGAGTAAATCGTTGCATCCATAGTGACCCATTATAGTGAGTAAACTTAAGCAGAAATACTGAGTAAAGGTTACTCACTAGCATGAGTAAGTTTACTCAGAATGAGTAACTTTACTCACAAGTTTGAGTTGAAAATACTCAGTTATCGAGTACAAATAACTCAAAAGTAGAGGTAAAATTACTCAAGAGAAATGCATCCATGGTGACTCTTTATTTTGAGTAAAACAGCCAATTACTCATAATTTGAGTAAAGGCTACTCTAAATTTTGAGTTAAGTCAAATTTTACTCTGTTAATGAGTTAAAACAATACCTAAATAATCGAGTAAAGAAAATGATTATATTTACACAATATTTTGAGTAAAAGTGAACTCCACTTCAAACGAGTGCAAAAAAACCCTGTTAGCAATGGCAGATCCTTATGCCTGCCTGGAAAAGTTTCAAACGTTTTTTTGTAATACACAGTCTGGCAAGGACCCGTGGGTTTAACTTAGTCCACACTGTACATACTTACTGATTTGAGAACGGCAACTATAGTACGCAGTTAATGCCAAACAATAAGCAAATTATCTTTCAGTGTTTCTTTACATTTTTTATTATCTCATTCAGGCTTTAACATCTTCAGGTAGTGGTGACATTTTTCCATATCAGGCAGAGTTTGGAAGACAGCATGACAATTTATTAATTACATGCCCATTCAATATTTAGACTTGCAGACTGGGTACTCTCAACTAACCAAAGAAAAATGAAAATGTCATAACATGGCTCAAAAGATTATATTTTCAAAAGAACATTTATCCAAGTAACTCATCATTTAAGTTCAATGGATAAACAAGAAACAAATTTTTTTAAAAGTATGCACATTTCATTAATGGTGTCATGGTGACCAAAACACTTTGGTAAATTTGATGCATCCCTGAGCTGTGATAGTGGACACAACAATGTCTAAGAATGTGATCGTAAATCTTGGTTGAAAAAGAGGTACATCCAAGAGTCGTGACCAGTATCCTCGGTGGTTAAAATTTCTGTATTGAATGAACATTTCAACTGAAATTCTAGAAATTGTTTCATTGAATGTACCCTTTGCCATAGATAAAAATTCAGTTCACGCTTTAATACATTAACAGTCCATTCAATTGGTGCAGCTGTGTTCAACTTGGATGATATGTTTCCCTCAAATTTGCAAGTTGAAGTACAAATGGGGTTCTTCAGCAGACTCCTGATGCACCACCTTAAAATCAGGACAGGAAGGGCAATCTCTCTTCTTCTGCTATGCTCTAGTTTAAAGGTGTTTGTTTCTGCCTATGAACAAAAGAAAGGAAGATTAATAAATAAGTTGAAAGGTAAATAGTACAACAGGGAGCCCACGCAATCTCGCAGTGTGCATAACCGATTGTTATGGCGATAAATCACTTACTATGTATATAAATCGATGTTAAATAAATGCTGTCAACAGCGAACTCAAAATCCTTCAAAATCGCTCAAAAAACCGCTTTTGAGGCAAAAGGATGACAATACATATACACCAAAGGTAAGGTAATTCAACTTTTATTCATTTCGATTTATACACATAGTGAGTTATCGCTATAGGTGAAGCAAATGGTAAATCCAGTGTATTTACAATAAAATTAATAGCAATCAGTACACACATTGCGAGATTGTGTGGGTTCCCTGTGATAGTACTTGTGTATGTTATAAATACAGGTTAGTTTTGATTTAACCTAGGTTAATTTTCAATATCCTTTTTCTCCTAGCCCTAATAATTTATTAGAGCTAGGAGACAGAGGAAATTAAAGAGAATCATTGTTAAAAACATTAAATCAAAATTAACCTGAATCTAATTTACTTTGAAGCTGTTTTTTACTACAGCAAAGGCATAACTGACTTTTACTGGCCACATTGCAATTGAAGGAATACTTCATAGGACCCAGGAAATTTTTGTCAATCAAAGTTGAAAATTCCTTCAACAGACACATCATTACCACCAGGTCCTGGTAATTCAAATGTTGGATAAGCACTATCTATCCACCAGGCCCCAGTTGTTCAAATGCTGGATAGCGCCATTCACAGGATAATATTAGGGAAATCAAGTGCGGCAATATCTGGCAGAAGATAGTGGTATCCACATCTTGAACAACTAAGGCCCTGAGCACTGTAATACTGTGGTTATATGCAATATCCCAGCAGATTTGATTCATAATCATAAAATCAAGACAGTTAGCTCTCTCTTACTCAACACCCAAAGTGAGTCATTTTCTTTGAAATGGCCATCACATGGAGCTTAATACAAGTATATTTTTTGAAAAGCACCTTAAATTAGTGGCAGTGGTCATCATGGAGAGGTGGCCTTGAGTGAATGTATGGAATATCCAATTCCACTGGAATTAGAAAAAGTGGTCATTAGTAAAGAGGTAAATGTGAGTAAACATTTGTCTGTTATTATAAAAAGACAAAACTAAAAAAGAAGATAATTATTTAAAGATGTCATATTATACAATGGAACCTCTATTCAGGGGAAACCCTTGGGACCAAGGCAAGTGTAAAAATTAACCAACAAATAAAAATGTTTTCTTTTATCCTGCCTTGGAATCTGCTGCAGTTATTATTTCAAGCAACTTAT